CTCATTGGTGTAAGTATGTTTGTATGTGTGTGGGGGTATAATCTGTAAGCAGGTGTGGGTGGGTGTCAGTGTGTGTGTGGTATTGTTTTCAAAGCTTTGAATAATCTACGGAATGTAAAATCCCATTTCCACTGAGCAGATAGCCAGGGTGGTAAAAAAAAACTTACTTAACATAACAGTACAAAGCACTTTTTCATTACTTCATCTCAAGATTGTGTGCTTGTTGATGCAGAGGTTTACATCAACCGTGATAAAAAGACCAGCGAACAATTTCTGCTTCTTGATATTTCGGCAACTTTACCTTCTCCTGAGTTATGTTCTGAAAGGAGTAAGTATTAATCACTATTGTCAGAGTATAAGCCATTTTTGTTAATTTCTCTGACTTCTTTTGTTGTATTTTCGAAGTGGATAGACAGTGTTTACTCTAACAGCTCATAAAGTTAATCGAAAATCAACATGATTCACATTTTATACGATCCTCCACTCGCTTCCATGCTTGACTGGTTTCTCGGGGTCAAACTGGGTCACCAACATGTCTGGTGACCTAAACAGGTATATTACGTTTATAAAAAGATTCTGTTTGTCATTTTGGCTGAGATTGGCTCATATAGAGTGGACTGATTATTGAATTCGTATTGCGAAGATAGTTTAAAAGTTCTTTTTGTGTTCTGGTAATGATCAAGGGTGTAAAAGTAAGGCCTAGATTGAATTTATGTATTTTGTATTCTGCTCTCTGTGGGATAGTGTGATGTTGCTTTACTTAGTGATACAGTGAACAGCATAAGAAGAATAAGTGCCTTTTGCTCACGCCTCAGGTGGAAGTGGCTGATGGCGTTGCAGTGTAGGTGGAATTTCTATATTAAAATTGGTTATTTATGTCGTTCTCGCGAATTATTCCAATTGCAACAGGTTATATTATGCTCCTTTGTGGATTTGTGAAATGATTGGTGTCTGTGTAAAAAGACAGCTATACTGAAGAAAAGATGCTTTTAACTATTCGGTTAGAATTTATAAAAGCGATCGAGGACTATATTGATGAAATGAAAAACTGCTCATAACTTTCCCTTTCGCCTTTTACGAGTATCACTTACACCATACTCTTAATTTTCTTTTTTTTTATCTAAAACACACATTATTTATACTTCAAACAATTTATAAATATTTTGTTTTAATTTTCTGTGTTAAGTGTGCCATAAGACCTTCACACGGCATTCATACATTAAATGCGTTGAGTCTGCCACGTTCGTTCCATATTAAACGCAGAACTGTAGCCTTCATAGCGCTTAAGTACAGACGGAATTGCATTTGTGTTCCTTCCACACTAACTTCTTTTACGCCGAATATTTAAGGAAAAATAACACCATCCACAGTTGGTGTCAGTAGAAAATAAATAATAATAATTAATATTAATGCCGCATTAATATCATTATTATTAATGCCGCACCGACACACAGGATAACGCCGCGAAAGTGTTAATATGGAGGTAGAAGAAGAAGGGAAAGAGGAAGGACAAGGAGGTGAAGAGAATACCTGTAAACGGATTTTGGAGAGAAGGGAATAACTAACAAAGAATGGAGAAGGCAGGAATGGAGAAGAATCTACGAAACGACCCCAAATAGAGACGGAATTGAACTAAAGAAGAAGAAGAAGAAGAAGAAGAAGAAGAAGAAGAAGAAGAAAAAGAAGAAGAAGAAGAAGAAGAAGAAGAAGAAGAAGAAGAAGAAGAAGAAGAAGAAGAAGAAGAAGAAGAAGAAGAAGAAGAAGAAGACAGTGGAGTGAAATGTACACTAATGATACACCACATGGAATAAGACTTAGAGTGGAGACGGGGAAGTGCATCACTATTATTGTCATTATTGTTATTGTTGTTGTGGCCTTATTATTATTATTATTATTATTATCATTATTATTATTATTATTGTTATTATTATTCTATTATTATTATTATTATTCTATTATTATTATTATTATTATTATTATTATTATCATTATCATTATTGCTATTACTATTATTATTGTTACCATTATCATTATCATCATTATTATTTATTATTATTATTATTATTATTATTATTATTATTATTATTATCATTATTATTATTATTATTATTATTATTATTATTATTATTATTATTATTATTATTATTATTATTATTATTATCATCATCATCATTATTATTATCAATATTAGTTTTATTACCATCACCTTCATCATTGTTATTATTATTATTGTTATTATTATTATTATTATTATTATTATTATTAACATCATCCTCATCATTAGCAGTAGTAGTGTTATTGCTACAATTATAATCTTATCATTTTATAGTTTTATCATTATAACCTTTATCACTAATCACTATCATTGCTAACGTTATCACCATGGTCATGATCACCACCACCACCATAATCATCATCATTAACAGCAGCAGCATCACTATCATCATCAAAAACATTGTCATCATCACCATCGTTATTATCATCACGAACGTCACAATCAAGATCATCACCATTATCATCGTTCCATCATTACAGCATCATCACCATCACCATACCATCATCTTCCTCATCACCATCATTATCATCATCATTCTCATCATGCAACCTCAATATCATCATCATAATCGGTATTTTGTCATGGCTTTTTCTTCTTTTTTATTGTTACTGTTATTCTTAATGAATAGTTATTACAATCATTATTATTATCGTTTATTATCTTAGTTATCAAGTCATCTGAGGATTTTCATGAATTTTGGCGCCAAAAAGACGGTTTTATTTTTTCTTTTTATTATTATTGTTGTGCGTAATTTTTTTTTTTTTTCTTTTTTTTTCTTTTTCTTTTTGTCTTTTCTGTTGTTCATTTATTCCCCTTTTCTGTTCTCTGTTTATTTATCTTTTCTGTTATCTATTTATCTTTTCTGTTATCTATTTATATTTTCTGTTATCTATTTATCTTTTCATATATCTTTTCTGTTATTTATTTACGTTTCTTTTATGTTATTATTTTTTTCTGCTCTTTGTTTATTTGTCTCTTCTGTCATTTTTTTATTTATCTTTTCTGTTATTTATTTTTTATGTTATTTATATTTTTTCTGTTCTTTATTAATTTATCTTTTTTGTTCTTTCTTTCTTTATCTTTCCCGTTCCTTATTTATATATTTTTCCCGCTATTCATTTATTTATCTTTTCCATTATTTATTCATTCATATTTCCCGTTCCTTATTTATTTATCACTGCCTCTATCTCTCATTCGTCTTAGTCTCTGCCCCCGATACTACAGGAATGACAAGAGCTTTTACGTTCCTCTTTTGTTCTTGTACAAGGTCTTGATATTTCTCAAAGATTAGTCTATAGTTTGTTGCGATAGAAGATTGGAAACTCTATCGTCTGACCCTAATCGGTTTCCTTGTAAATGACTATCATGTACGAAGGTTTTCATGTACGTGTGTGTGTGTGTGTGTGTGTGTGTGTGTGTGTGTGTGTGTGTGTGTGTGTGTGTGTGTGTGTGTGTGTGTGTGTGTGTGTGTGTGGATGTGTGGATGTGTGTGTGTGTGTGTGTGTGTGTGTGTGTGTGTGTGGATGTGTGTGTGTGTGTGGCAAAGTGATCGGTGTCGAAGAATTTAAAGAAAGTATTAACCGATCCACCACGTGTCAAACATCGGGTCATGGCAAGACAACGGTGTCATGAAACTGGAGTGATTGTGAAACAGTGTCGGATCTTTGTTTCGCGTCTCATGTATGGCTCTCACATTATATTTCTCTATCGCCTCTTGCTTTTTTTCACTATCTTTATTCCCCATTTATCTAATTTGAGTTAGCGCATGTAGTTTATCCGGAAATGAGCCGTGTATCCTAAAACGCTTTCGAAATCTAGCACTAATCTCAGACAAACTGTGTCGTCCCAAACGCCAGGCTCACCTTGGGATAAGCTTACTAGTTTTTGTTCATTGTTTTTGTTCATTGTTTTTGTTCCTCTCTGTCCTTCTTTTTTATAAGACTTGCAAGTTCAATGTTACTCTTTATCAAGGCCAAGGCGGAGCCGAATGTAAAAAATAGAGGGAGATTTAGACCAGAATATTAGACATAGCCTGGCGAATGACACGCCCTCTTTCGGGAGATAAGGGGGAAGGCGAATGTAAAGGAATTATTTAAATAAATAAATAAATAAATATATATATATATATATATATATATATATCTGTGTGTGTGTGTGTGTGTGTGTGTGTGTGTGTGTGTGTGTGTGTGTGTGTGTGTGTGTGTGTGTGTGTGTGTGCGCGCGCATGTGTGTGTGTGTATATACATACATATTTACGAATATAACAACCATATATACAGTTATGCACACACACACACACACACACACACACACACACACACACACACACACACACACACACACACACACACACACACACACACACACATACCTACACACACACACACACACACACACACACACAAACACACACACACACACACACACACACACACACACACACACACACACACACACACACACACACATACATACACACACACGCACACACACATATACAGGCATGGTGGGCGGGGAAAGAAATTCGTATAACGGTTTAATGGACACCAAGGCAAAAATTAAAGAAAATAAAAAAACTGATGTAAATGTATCAATAAAACAAACAATAATTGTTTTATTACAGCCCCCAGTTTATTCGTCCAGCGACCAAAAGAAACAAAACAAAACAGGATCAAATAAAAACAAAAACAAAAAAATATTCTCTCATTTCTTTCTTGAAAAATTACCAATTACCTTCAATCCACATTCTCATTTCCACTTCTTTCATCTTCCCCCCGTCTCTTCCCTCCTTCCTTCCTTCCTTCCTCCCTCCCTCCCTTCCTCCCTTCCTCCCTTCCTTCCTCCCTCCCTTCCTCTCTTCCTCCCTTCCTTCCTCTCTTCCTCCCTCCCTTCCTTCCTCCCTTCCTTCCTTCCTCCCTCCCTTCCTTCCTCCCTTCCTCCCATT